TCGTGCTTTTGACTACTAAACTAAAGCTTTGTCTAGACTATATATTTTATTTTACAAATTTGTGTGATGTGCCCATATATGGGCATGATGATGTCATGATGTATGACTAATGACCTGCAATTGGAGTTGGGTGGAAAATGCTTTTCTACAGAAAAGAGGTGACCGAAGTGGAGTATGATGATGATTATTGTGCTGATCATGATGACGATAATGATAATAATGATGACGAGGATAATGGTAGATAGAGATTATGAGGAGAGGTAGGCCTAGAGAGGTGACAACATTTAAAGGAAAGGAGAGAAGAATGTACGAAAACTACTACGATGGATATGACGATAAATAAAGTATGTTTAAAATTAATTGTGATATTATTAACATCTTTTACAATCTACTTGCAGTTCTTGTAACGCAGGCGTTCTGGAGTGTAGCCGCCTTTGTCGTAAGTAAAGTTTTCTAAGTAAAGAGTCATAAATAACAATATAAATTTATGACTTGCATTTAGTTACAGGAGCTTTTAATTAGGACTTTAGAGTTCCGGTTCAAATTGTACATATACTAACTAGACGCATTATTGCATAGAAATACAGGGGTGAATCCATATTCAATGTATACGATACGATTTGTAATAAAATGTAACATGTATTCTGTTATTTGTTCGTAGCGGTTGAAAAAGCAGGATCATGCCCTGTACCATCCGTAGAAGCATTACATGTGGATTGTATTGCGACTTGCCAACAGGATAAGGACTGTAATGGTATTGAGAAATGCTGTGGTTGTGATTCCGGATGCGTCAAACCACTTGAGGGTAAGGTAGTGGAAGGTATATTGGAATGAGAGACTGACAACAAGGAAGACGGATGATAGAAAAAGGGCGGGGGCACTTGCTGGAATATAATTATTTGAGCTGGGAAATGAGAGAGGGGGCGTGCAACCAATCACCCAAGTGTTTGCATGGTGCAGCGCACATTATAATTCAAACGGCTGTGCTATGATGATCATACAAATGCAGCCGATTCTAAGTAATCAGTTTCGGTGACAAAGAAAAAATGCCGATACACTATACTGGTGGCAGCACCAGTCATCAATCATCTGATCAGAATCCCCTAATAAGGTTTGGTGACGGCATCATGAATGGTGATGTCACCGAAACTGATACTTATCAGATCTATTAGGTAGACTCGTGTGACAAATAGGTTATTTCAATCTACTTTAAAAATGCTTAACATTCAGCTAAAATTTGACCCTTCTGTCGTTTTTATTGATATTTGTACTGATGATTTCACAATGCTTAATAATCATAGGCCCCTTACATGTAGTTCGTACGGGTGTAAAATAATAATAGGCGCCCTATGATGTTTAAATTTACTGGCCGTCAGCCAGTGTCTAAAATTGGCTATTCCCGACAATGTTGAGGACTATAAGTTTATTTAAAATATTTCTGCATGCGCAGCATTTTAACTAGAAAAATATTTCCTAACAATTGCTGCTTCTCTAATTCATTCTATCCATAATTTTTGATCTAGATATTAATTTTCTAATTATTTAGCAAATTCATCGTCGGATTGTTTTTTCCGTAACGAGTGGCATTCTGACAGCGAGAAATTTAAATCGGATTGTTATAGATGTCAATGTCTTAATGGATCCATCGTATGTCGAGCGCCAATCTGCCCGCCTGTGCCTTGTCCAAATCCAGTAATGCCAGAGAATGAATGCTGTCCAATCTGTTGTAAGTTGTGTACGGTACGCTTTATCTTCAAAGACTACCAACTAAACTCTCCCACCAAATTCAGCAACCACGCACTTCTAATAGTTTCTTTTTTTCTTTTTTAGTGGATGACAGCAAACCAGGAGAGTGTCCTGCCACAGAGACCAATTCATCACTTTCGACCAATTGCAGCTCTCCGTGTCAAGATGATGTGTCGTGCCCAGACGATAAAAAATGCTGTTTGTCTGACGACTGTGGACTGACTTGCAAAGCCCCCTCAAAAGGTAAGATGTATGACCTTACCAAAACTTTTCAAACCAAGGAAGTGGTTAGAATTCCTTCTACGATTCCTTCTAATTAATGTGGCAGCAGTCTCACTTTTTCATGGCTACGTAATAGGCCGCGGCATTACGCAAAATGGCGGAATGTATACGGTAGTGCTCGCAGCCCATTACGATGAACAAATACTGATGAATCATGGACAAATATAAATTTTGAGACATCGGCCTCTCGATCGATCAATCGACTGACGCATCGATTGTCCTATACCTACCTACCAACCGATTGATTGAGTAGAGTTAATATAACTCTTAACTATATAACTTTATTTTATTCATTTTCAGGACGATCTGGAATGTGCCCCTTCCTCTTGTTTCAATCATCGACGTCATGTGTTCATGAGTGCCAAATAGATGACCATTGTGACGAAGGACAGAAGTGTTGTTTGAATACATGTGACGCAAAAGTGTGTTTAGATGCGATACCAGAAGGTAAGAGAAATACAGATCGTTGGGAACTAGTTTAGGACTATTGGGTAATGGGTTTTGTATATCTCTTGTTGATAAATTCCGAAAAATGCTATAAAATATTAAAATTATAAGATGGTTTATTTATGATAATGATATATTGATATTGTCTTTACTCTACAGTGGGGTAATTATAATTTAACCGATGTTGTGGACATTTTATATATTTTAGATTCTGTTGTCTGTGGTGATCAACCTTGTTTGAATGGTGGTGTGTGCAGTCAAATAAACGATACGTTTTACCAATGCAAATGCCAAAGTGGATTCTATGGCGGACACTGCGAGAATAGAGGTAACCATCAATATGGCATACCTAGTTGTTTGCTTTGTGGAAACTGTTTTGTTCAGAGTGAACGGCTTGGTTGACGCGAATGGCGTTACAATTTTGTGTCATTCGAATGTTCCTAATTTTCTTGTTTTCAATTTAAAGATCCCAGTTGTCATCCCAACCCATGTAAAAATGGAGGAAAGTGTGTTTTTCAAGAAGAATCCGGTTTGTCCTCTTGCGATTGCACAGAAGGATTTGATGGAGCGAGGTGCAATCTCGAAAGTTAGTTTTACTTCAGTAAACTATATCCATTAGTAAGAAAACTTCTTAGCACCAAAATTAGTCTACAAATATTCTATCACATTACTGAAGTTATTTAAAACTGAAACCTTAAGAATTATTAAGCGTTCTTAAGGTTTCATTTGAGAGGACCAGGCTCTAGAAACCTAGGTTAAATGGTGACCATGTTGGTAATAGTGATAAACTTTGTCCGGTGCCTATTTTGGTACTGGATCCTAATTGTGCTTGACACCGACTTCTAGCTTGGTGGGCCCATTGTTGTGATGTTGAACGAATACGTTAATTTACAGTGGCCACAGGCCTACATCCTTCATGTGTTCAAGTGTTTTTTGTTTTTTTTTATCAAGTCAAACATTTCCTAATTAAATTAACTTCACAATTTTTTTTAATTCAGGTTCGTTGTGTGATGAGATCACATGTTTGAATGGCGGGATTTGCAAACTGTCTCTATCTACACCGGTTTGCAGTTGTATAAACGGGTATACGGGAACATATTGTGAAGAACCTGGTAAGGATTCTTTTTTTAATAAGTCTGTTGTTACGTCTGCAACTGTAAGGCAAAGTTGTTTTGCCTGATTATGTGATTAATTCGTTTACGTATGATGATTATATTAACATTTTATAATATTATCAATTTTGTTGAATTTCATGGAGTAATTTTATTAATTAATTGTTTATTATTATTATAAATTTAGAAAAGAATAAAAAGAATGTATAATAGAAAATGTAATTATAACATCGCTTAGAATAGGACCTAATTTTTTTTGTTTTAATTATTTCAATAGCGATGAACTGTTCATCTATCGTCTGTGAGAATGGCGGAGAATGTATTGATAGTGCGGGATTCCTAAGCAGTTCAGCCTCCATCCTAACACCGCTATGGGATTGCCAATGTCCGGGAGGATTCGTAGGAGATTTCTGCGAGATACAAGGTTGAAATTTGCATTCTATTATTCAATTTTTTTACAACAAAAGGTAATTTATTTGACTATTTCACTGACCATGAAATCAGTGGTGGCGCCAGGACTTGCCCGACGGTGGGGCTAAAGGCCCCGACGGGGCGAATCGAGTCTCACTTTGGGTGGGGGCATGGGGGCCGCCTAGGGCACCCGGTGGGGGTCCAGGGGGCGAAGCCCCCTGAAAGCCACTGGTATTTGATGAATTATGACTATTTTTTATTACGGTACTTATTTGATAGGCATCGAGTTACTATAATATGACTTCATGTAGTCTATGCTTTCTAATGTTGAAATCAGCTTCCAAAACCAAAACATTTTGAATAAAGCAAGAAACAAAGAGTATGCAATATACAGTAACCATCTAATTTATTTTCAAATCCTCATTCTTGAAAGTGAAATTCTATATTTTGGAAATTTTGCATTAAATCTGTCAACCACGCTGTCATGGTCGAGGTTGCTTCACCTATCACGAAGTATTCCAACCATCATGAGGCTATCTAAATGAGCATTTGTCATAACAGAACGCAAATTATTTTTAATTAGTCTCATTGAATTATTATTATTATTATTATTATTATTATTATTATTATTATTATTGCTGTTGTGATGAAAAGTTAACACAAAAAATATGGTGGCTAAACGAATACTACATGTAAATATTTTTTTTTATTTGTTTGTTCCCCGACAAAATATATCGTCTTCCCCGACGGAGGGGGGGCTATAGCCCCCTCTGGCGCCACCACTGCATGAAATTGCCAAGACTGATTGCCAAGTGCAATTGACCGTTCTTAAGGTAGAAGCGTCCCCGTCGCACCACCACCACCACCACCACCACCCCATACAAGTCAACATCTACTTGTAACATCATTTTCATCATGCCATCTGATGTACCTGGCAGAGTACAATGATTGTGCTAGAAATGTCTACTCTGGCTGAAACAGAGTATCTACCAAATGTGTGGATATGATAAGAATAAGAAGCTTAAGTTCCCATTCCCTGAATACAGTATTTCCCTGAATACATTATTTGTGTGTGTTTGTGGTCAGTTTTTAAGTTCGATTGACACTGTGACATTTTCACTGGTATTGCCTCAACACTGTATACTGAGGATTGTATATTATGATGCTTCTGCTGCTACAACTTCGACACCGTGTTTTTGGTGTCGTTTACTTTTTCTTCTGTTATAATGTTTTATGACGCTTTAATTTCAAACATTAAATAAATTTGCCTTTAAATTAAAGCATTCGGCTGAAGATTTGTAAATGAGAGAATGATATTCATATTAATTTTAGTGAATTGTAATGTATTTCCTTCTTGTCTCAGATGAATTTTGTGACGACAACAAATGTCAAAATGGTGGCACTTGTTATAAGATCACTGGTAGACCGATAGCGACATATTGCGTATGCGCGGATGGGTTCACAGGGCCTACTTGTCAACAGTGTGAGTAATAATTAATTATAATAATGCTAGTTTTGAATATATGGTTTACAGTACACTGTGCCTTACAAGCACTGTATAATAACAATATTATTATTATATTTGTCATTAATATCATTGATATATTATATTACGCCTTTTAATATTTATATATTGTTATCACTGCCCACTTATTCTTTCAGTGGAGGTGTGCCAAAGTCAGCCGTGTCTCAATGGAGGAACGTGTCTTATATTGTTTTTGTCCTATAAATGCAAATGCCAAGAACGTTATTCGGGAGTCAATTGTGAAATCGAAAGTAAGTGATCTAACGTTATCGCAGTGGCGGATACAGGGATCTGAAGTAGAGGGGGCCCAGGAGAGTCTAGACCACCTCTGCACTGCTGCGGTTGAGGCGGTGATGGTCGAAAATGGCACTCTCAGACTTGTATATAATTTTCATTTTTTTCTCCATTAAACAAAATTTTGAACAATTTAGGAGGGCGGCTGGGGCCGGGTCGGCCTCCTCCACCCCTGAATCCGCCATTGCATAATACAGAATAAATGGGAGCATCATATTCTTTGTATTGTTTTTACTTACCCTTTGGAGAGAGTCATAGTTTAAATTTGTATTCAAATTTACATTTATACAGGTCATCAAAATTGCTCGACAGTGATATGTCAAAACAGCGGAACATGCATCCAGGACGAGTCGTCCAAAGGCTGGCAGTGTACATGCCCAAGGAACTTCCGTGGGGAATTTTGCGAGGAATATGGTATGGATAACGACTATTAATTAATTTTAATTTTAATAGAGTGTCACCAAAGTCTTCGAATACCACATTACACTAGGAGACATCAGGTTCTACCAGTACCACGATTTATTCAATGTAATTATTATTAGTCTTGTGCGATTATACATATACAGATGTTCTGCACATGTAGTAAAGGAAGATAAAGATGATGATGATGTTTAAAAAATAGAGAAAATTAAATTTAACTAAATGTACTGTATAGTTCGGTAAAAAGTTTATAAACTTGCCTTTTGCAAACCTGCAAGACTGCAGTCAATATCAGAACTGCGCCGTATTTGCTATAAATAATCTTTATTATTGTTTTAATTTTCTTACGGTATATTACTAATATTATCAATATGTGAATTATCCGTATGGTATGTTCAGATCCCTGTATTGCTGGTCAGCCTTGTGAAAACGGCGGTTCATGTCAACCTGCAATTGACGGTGGAATTAAATGTGCTTGCCCGGCCGGAACATCAGGCAATCGCTGTGAAAACTCGGTCACAGGTATGTTACAGGTTCGTCTAAACCGGGAAGGCAAAATTAATATTCTTATATTACGAACTGATTTCGTTAGCCGTTACTTTTAAAGCGACAGTCCAATGTGATATTTACACGTCATATCTGCGTGCGTAAAAGTACGCGTCCAGATCCCGGATGTAAAAAAGGTAAGCATTTCTCAAGCAAATCTCAGTTTCAAGACGGAAAGATAATCAATATAGAGTGTTATTCTTTAATTATCAATTAAAATTATTAATAAGCCACCAACGTGTGTCTTAATCTTTTACATTAATTATGCCTTTAGACGCTTGTTTCTTCTCGCCATGTTTGAATGGTGGCAGTTGCTCTGAATTCAAAGGATTTCCAGATTGCTCATGCACAGATGGGCATACAGGAAGATTTTGCGAAATAACTGGTGAGTCTATATACTCTACAAGTGCTTATAATTTAAAGCAGGATAATACACTTACGCTCGAAATTCATTATATTATACCGGTAACGATTTATTTCATTTTATTTTATTCAGGAATTAAAATCACAAAACAAAAACAAAAACAGATACCGGTATATATAAATAGGCATAATAGAAAAGACATTAATTTCTAGAGTACCCAAGAAAATTTTACAATAAACAAAACGTATTTCCATTGAGCCCTAGCTCGCTCGCTTGACTAATTGAACGATTATTTTTATTGATTGATTGATTTTAATTGGTTGGTTGATTATGATCGATCTCATCAATCGATCAAATTGAATGATTAATTGATGACTGACTGACTACGGCACTGTAACAGATTGAGTGAATTATTGATCGATTAATGACATGAATTTCAGTGATGGCCACTTCGGAAATGCATTTCAGAATTAACATTTGTTCACCTGTGTTTATGTTTGGCACGTGTAGTAAATGATACCTGTCAGAATGGAACCAAACCTGTATCCTGCCTATTTGACCCTTGTCACGTGGCAAGTTGCCCGGCGCACCCCGATGCCCGATGCAAATCAAACTACTGCGGTGGGTGCAACGCAGAATTCTACGATGATGTGGGAAATCGCGTGGACTGCCGAGAGTGCTCCTCCGGAGAAAAGGTCAGGTGTGTAATACATCCATGTGACCTCACCACTTGCGTGAACACCCCACGTGCGTATTGTGACATCAGCTATTGTCATACATCGTGTGAGCCGGTGTTTCTTATTAGCGACGATGAACTCGCAAATTGCGACTCCTGCTCGGAACCACGATCGTGCCCAGTCGATCCATGTGAAGTATGTACGACCATCCCGGATGGAGCAGAGTGTCGCGTTGATAAGTGTAACAGTTGTGCAGCAGAAATTTATAATGCTAACGGAAACAAAATAGGAGTATGTCCTGATACCTCTGCGGAATGTTTACCAGGTCTTCCCTATGTTCCTTGCTTACACGATCCTTGTCTGAACGTCGTTTGTCCAGGACACCCTGATGCTGCCTGTACACCAGACTACTGTGGAGGGTGCACACCTAAATTTGTCGATCCTGTCTCTGGAGTTCGATTAGAATGTGACGCTTGTCCTGACAACGAGCCACTTTACAGATGTGCGTCAGACCCGTGTGTGTCGGCGACATGCTCTGCGTACCCCGGTGCACTCTGCCGGATCAACAATTGTGGATCCTGTTCTGCAGAGTTTATATCTGACACTGGGAAAGTGTTAGACTGTACAGGTAGGCCACATGTTTAATTTCTACTGAAACATTTATAACATTAATATATATTTCTATATCAGTCTTTTTTATGGTGCATTTTATATCTTTAATCCCTGCGCACTCAGAGACCAGTGGCGTATCTACGGCGGGGGGCGCACTTCCCCCAAAAATTACTCGCCCCATCCCCGCTCCAGTCGCCTCCAAAAATCACGGTCAAGTAGTTAAAAATCACCTAAAACTTATTTTGCGAATTAGTGCCCCTTCACATTCGCCCCCCCCCCATCAGCACCCCATTTAAAGACTTCTAGATACGCCACTGTTAGAGACTGCAATCTGAAACGCGATTCTGTGAAACCGTGACAACACATCGCGTGACGGTGCGCTTTTACCGACGATCCGTTCAGACTGCTACGACGGTCGTTGCGTCTTGCTAGTAATTAAAAGTGAGGACAAATTCGTCAGCCAACGGCCGTCCAACGTTGTGTATCGTTAATCCCGGCGTACTCTGCGTCGGATATCCGAAACGCGATCCCATGAGACCTGGTTTCCATAAAATCGCTACACAGATGGGATTTTCATTGCAATCCATGCACTGCGTAGACTTCCCCTACAAATTCTTCAGCCAACAGCCGGCCAACGCTTGGTTACTAATATTATTTCTCTAAACATATTCATATCATATGTTATTCATATACATTAAGTTTTTTTAGGCCTACAGTACTGCTTTGCTGTCATATAAACATTTCTCTATCTATGACATAGATTATTGTAAAGACAATAACTGTAGACTAGGTTTAAAATGCACTCCTTTCGATGGCGGCTACTACTGCGAGTGTCCATCGTTTAGACGAGGAGAGTTTTGCGAAGAGAACTTCTGTAAGCATGAGGGCGCTGAATACGAGCTAGGAGAGAAGATGGATTCAGATGAATGTAACAAATGGTAATTATAGTAATGACCATTCTTCGACATCAGGATTTTTCTCTACAGCTAAAAACAGTTACACTTTCTTAGCCTCATGAAGAAGGTATACTTAATCTTCCGTATTTATTCGAATAAACATCCCCTCCAGAGCCTCATTTGGAATAAACACCTCCTTTGAATAAATTCCCCGAGGGGTTTATTTTTCCGCGAACAAACACCCCGCCCCCAAATGGCTGTAAACAAGACTAATGGAAGCACCATGATACGTATCCATTTAACACCAAAAAATAAACGTCCTGGACGCTTAATCGAATATTATTATACAGTGTAGGCCTATATTTGATCTATCGGATTTTGGTTAATTCGAAAAATATACTTTTCTTTCTTTCAGTAAATGTCGCAAAAATGGTATTTGGGAATGTACAGAATATCGATGTGGTAAGTAATAACCAATCATGATATATAACGTAATAATCGACGAAAAATAAATTACAAATGTATGTGATAAATCGACATGTACTAGACCTGCCATGCTATATGGATATATTTGCATTGTTAGTTGAGGAACATCCATAATGTTTCTTCCATTTAAAAAACAATGAATTGCAATATTACGGAAATACTGTAATAAAGGACAAACGTAATATCTTTATATTATAAGCCTTATCTAGAATTCTTGAAAAGTAAACAATATGTATAATTGAGGATTTTTTCTCATTAGATTTTACGTGCGTGGACAGGGACCAAACCTATTATAGTGGTGACGTGCGAGATGACAAAGACGGATGTAACACATGGTAAGCGCATACTTAGGCCCACATTCTTATCTTGAATCCCAACATTATTTTTATAACGAGTCTACAATTTCCAAACTACAGCAACGACATGTTTGTTCAAAAAACGGAGATAATATTTATTATATTTATTTTTTATTATATTGATTATTTTTATTTTATTTTATTATTTATCTTGGAACCAGATGAATTTATTCAACGACTTATGTTGTTTATAGCTTTGTATAATTTAATTAAATGAGTAAACGAAACGTTGCAATGGTTGATTTCTGAGTATATATAAATTCAAATAATGACTTTTGTATTTGTTATATATATTTTCCCAGTATTTGCAATGAGCAAGGAGGCTGGGATTGCACAAAGGAAGCTTGTGGTAAGTGCATATCAATAATATGGTCGTTATCATTATAATTATTATCTTTAATGTCTTTATGATTATTATTATTATTCATATTATTATATCATTATTATTGTTTGTATATGTCAACGTATATTGTATTATTGTCAAGTAGGCCTATGCTTATTTGGATTATTATTGTATTTCTTAATTATATATATTTAGAATAGATAACTTTAAAATAATATAATATTATGAGCCTTTGTGATTGGTTTTCTTTCTTTTCTTATTTCATATTGATTGGCCTGATAACTGATTGATTTCATAAGATGTGTAAGTTTCATTCCCTTTATTTGATGGCTATTGTTAAATAATTAGTAACAACATAATTAGTATGTTGATATATTATTAATTATGCGTCAAGAATAATGTTTAATAGTATACAATGTTAATCTTACAACATCATTAGAAAAAAAGCTGTTTTACTCGAAGTCACTAACACAGTTTACCTCTATCTTCTAACACGACTTGTGTTACTCCTTACGGTATATCAAATTAAATATATGAATATTGTTTTGCAGAACCCTGGTTGAAGTGAAATTCAGTTTCGACCTTAATTTCGCTGATATTGAGGATAAATTACAGGATTTCAAAGAGTAAGCTCATATTTTTATGTTATGTTAATTATTTTAATTTCATTTAGTTGAGTCCATGTAATATAATTAATGTAGGCCTATATTAGCTGCGTTACAAAATATATAAGGGCAGTGGCGGCGTAACCACTGAGACATTCGCATGCGTGACGTGTGTAGGAAAGATAAATTAAGTCCCCCCCCACCAGACAGGACAGAGGTCGTCGGGCAGTCAGAGTAAAAATATATAAAAATAGGCCCCAGACAGGACAGAGGTCGTCGGGCAGTCAGAGTAAAAATATATAAAAATAGGCCCACGCCAAGTCAACACATGTCTGTCACAGTCTGAGAGTGTCATTTCTGGCCATCCAGAGGTTCTTATTCTTTAAAAAAATCTCATTTGGGAGGGGAAGCCCCCCTCTCAAACCCTTCCCCAGCTCAGGCCTACAAGCTCAAGTCCCCCTGCCGGACAGCTCAGCCCGCCAGAAAATATATCCTTGAGCCAACACTACATAGAGGAAGGGACATACTCCCCGTTATAAAGGCCCATCTTGAAAATATTGAGGAAATGAGGTTTATAGGTCGACGATGAGGATGATGGCGATGATAATAACTATGATGATGATGAGGATGCGATGTTGAGGATGCTGTTGTCGATGATGTTGATGATGATAATGTCGTTGCTCATTGAAGATAATGCTTAGGCCTACAACAACGACGACGATGGTGGTGTAGGTATTTGAAACCTGTGTAAACGTATCGAAATATATTCATGAAATTATGCATTACAATGACTGAATAAAAACATGAAAGCATAATAAATTAATACATAAGTGAATGAACGAACGAACGAACGAATGAATTAGGAGCGAACAAAAAGAATGAATGAATGCTACTATTAATTACAACCGATATAATTTCTGCCAATTTTCAGGAGCCTACGCCTCGATTTGGCAACAGAGTTCTCAATTCCAGTAACGGCTCTTAAGGACTTCCAGGTAAATTGAAACAAATACATTTTACATTTTACACTATTAGTGTACTTCAAGAAATGAGAATACTGAAGCTCTGCACACATTCTCATGTTTATTTTTATGTGACAAATACCCGTAATATGATATAAAAATCACACCGTCACATCTTTATATGTAACTTAATATTGTGAATAGGGCTTTAGTACAACCAGGGAGTTGTTATAGTCAACTCCCTGGTCCAACACAGTGTCGGCCGACCACCGGCCGCACGCCTGTGAACGCTTGCGCAACACAGGAGGGTTTGGCTTTACCATGGCTTTATATACTAATGAGGAAATAGGATCATACGATTAAAATGCTTTTAACTAATGGTTCCGGTGGTGGAACAAGTCTTCTCGGATAAGGACTCTTAACTGTATGTCCAGTGTACACAATTGGCTCGTGTGCACTTTAAAGAACCCAGTACATCATTCGAGAAGAGTAGGGGTTACCCCAGTGTACTGGTCCATTTCCAGTCCCCTGTCCGGCCATGAAGGAGCGTTTACGTCGCAGCCCATGTCAGGTATCCATCCTACCTGCGAATACTTTTACCACACTACGTAAGCAAGATCATACACACTAGCTACGTAGTGACACGATAAGAAGATCTAATGTTCTTGACAAACTATTATACATTTCAGATATCGCCTGGCAGTGTAATTGTTGAGTTTAAACTTGTTAGTGGTGACTTAACGGCCGATGACGTCAATAATGCAGCTGCCGATATCCAGACTCAAGTGAGTAGGCTTACAGTATATTTGATTGTATTTTGTGGGGATAAAATCCATAAATATCATCGTTAGTGCCACCATTAGCATTATTTTTATTAACAACATCTGTCACCGTCATCACCGCCAAGATTATCACAACCACCACCACCATCATTGTCATCGTTACTATCTTCACCACCACCATAAGCTTCATTATCGTCACCACCATCATCATCATCATCATCATCATCATCATCATCATCATCATCATCATCATCATCATCATCATCATCATCATCACCATCATCACCATCATCCCAATTAATAATCATATGTATAGTCATAAAATGTTTGTATTACGTTCATTTTATAGCTCCAGTCTGGTGACTATATATTCACATATGATGGTCAAGATATTAGTGTTATTCCTGATAGTGTCACGGTTTCTACACCATTAAAAGACACCGATGACACTAACGAGGCTCTTATCATTGGGGTGTGCGTCGCCGTCGCTGTCCTCATCGTTATTATAGTTATAATTATAATTGTGAGTTTACCTAAATATATTGTTATTCGACGTTATATTATATTGGTTTTGTTACTATTAATGCTAATAATAATAATAATACTATCAACTCTAAATGATTGTTATTAAATGTGTTATTATTATTATTATCATCATCATCATCATCATCTAATCAATGATATTGTTTCAATGTTTTAAGGTTATATATAAGAGAAAAGAATCTGAACGAAAACAATATGTGTCTACAGTGACCACTATATCCGTAACAAAAAAGGTAAATAAATATTATAACTATTTAAAAAAAACCACGATATTCTAACTACAGGCCTAATAATATTGTATATAAGAGAAAAGCATCTGAACGAAAACAATATGTATCTACAGTGACCATTATATCCGTAACAAAAAAGGTAAATAAATATTATAGCTTTTTTATAAAATAAAAAAAAACACGATATTCTATCTACAGACCTAATAATATTGATAAGTACCGTATGTTTATTAAAGTTAAGTGAAATGTTTCTTTTCATATTTCAGCGGAATACGTTTACCAATACCAGCTTTGAATCTGAGACTACCAAGTAAAGGAACCAAAGAGAAAACGAGAGAAAAACTGTCCCCCCGTTTCTAGGGGAACAGAAATAGGGGGATGGGGAGGACTCGTTGATAAAGTGAGGGAGAGCTATGTAGTAAAATAAGCTGTTATTAAGTGATTTTGAACTACAATAGGCCTACTTTAACATGTTTTTGCTTCAAAAATTTCATTTGTGGAAAGAAAGTGACTTATGGGAGGGGGCGAGATTTTTTTAGGAGGCCGTGAGATACGTGACTAACTGGAGAAACTATAACTGTCTAAATTAATGGACAATTAATAGCAATATGGAGACTGATACTTAAGCATAATGCGCAGGCGCAGATAACTCCCTGCCTTTGTGTGCTACGTTAAAGGCATTCATAATTATAAAGTGGCAATTCTGCTTCGCTACCAATCCTTAACCAGGGTACCGTGTTGTTTGGTAAAGAAAAATGTTATGCGAGTTTAATTTATTACCGTATTTAGCTTAAAATATGTATAGAAAGTGAGAAATAGTATATATAGTTACTTATTACTTCAACTTGTTACTTGTATAGCGTCCTTCTTTTCAGTTAAAGCGCTGTAAGCGACTCGCCACAATAAGTCAAAAACATCCCCCCGGGAAAAGCTTGCATAGAACCAAACCCAAGAAAAGTGTGCTAACCTAACTAATGCAATAAAGCTGTAGAAAAATAAGAAAACAAACAAAAAATAAACAAATACGATCTAAGCAAGGTGAGAGGAACTATTGTAAAAGGTGCGTTTTTAGATGGGTTTTGAACTGCCTAAGCGAATCACAAGATCTGAGAGAATTAGGCAGACCTTTCCAAAGTTGGGCAGCGATTGAAGGGAATGAATTGTCACCAATACGTTTATGGTAGACCGGTCGAACAAGTTGGATGGAGTTGGAATATCTTGTTAGCGCACATGGGTACGTAGTGTTAAGTAATGTAGTTATATAGTATTTAATCGAGAATTACTTATCACTAGTCTAATATCATTCAGAGTAGATTTAGGCACTACGTATATGCAGCACTTGTTTTCATGTCTGAAAAGCCTTGGGCATTTTATATATTATATTATATTATTTTATTATATTTTATATATTTTTATTATTTATATTTTTTATATTAGTGTGTATTGTTCTTAAATGACTTATTTATTTATTATATAAATATATTTATTCTTATTATTTCATTCATCACTCTTTGCGGTATTAAACCACTGAGACATTCGCATGCGTGACGTGTGTAGGAACACATGTACCGTAAATGCATGTACTACCAACACATATATTTTGAATCGCTGCATAAATCATATTTTCATACTTTATTACGAAGATATGTTATTACCAGCCAATTTGCAAAAAGGAACGGTAATATTTATGCAACTTTTGTACTGAAGAAAATATTTAAATCTATTATCAATTTTCAAAGAAACACGGGTAAAAAAAGATCAGTTTCACTGATATTTAAACGTTTTATTACAAAAATCTATATAGTTATTATTAAATTAAAAACACTTTTGGTTGACTGGTCTATGTATACATTGTGTCTGTAATTAACATATTTCCATCTTTGTTCAATACAAAGTCGGAGGTATGTCCTGGTGAATATCAGGCAGGCTTGCCTTCTTAAGATTTCTACTAATAGATACTTCGTTTGAAGCAAGAAACCAAATTGTCTTTACCCAGTACTGGTCGTTTAAATTAATCGGCGGGCAATTTTCATACATTTATGCAAAGAATATATGAACGATATGCGACTGTTTGCTTGCAATAGTATTTGTTTAATTGAAAGTTCACGAATTAATATACAACGTAATTCAAATAATTTTTTGTTAAAGTTTATTAGCTTAACGCAGGCAGTGTAGCTCATAATGGACTTTTGAACTGGCCAATCACAACATGGCCAGGAATACGCACTTGTCCAACACGCATGTGTTGTCTCAGAAATGCACGTGCTTACCACTGATATCTAATATAATTCCATGTACAGTAGTATAGATCAATGGTGTCTACATGCGTTTAAGTTGTCATTTTGTGGGACCTAATTTAGTAAAGCGTAGTTTCAACAAAAATTGCTACACGCTACTGCCGACTCCTTTGGCAACGCTAATTAGTCAGTTGAATAAAGGCCAACTCAGACAGCGTCGGCCGACGCAGCCCGACGCGATTTGTTGTGTGCGTCGGGGGCAGTCGCGTCGTAGAATATTAAACATGTTTAATATTTCTCACGACGGCTTAAGACTGTCCCCGACGATAAATCGTGACGGGCTGCGTCGGCCGACGCTGTCTGAATTGGCCTTAAAGGAGCGTCCCGATTGCGTCGGGGGACAGCTACGCAGTGCAAGTATCGCAGTGAAAACGCTGCAGCGACTTTGTAGCGACTGTATGGAAACCAAGCTTAAATATCTATTTGCTCTAAGAAAAACGAAACTAACATCACTTAATTAAGGCCTAGACAAACATACATTATCAAGGTGATGCTTTTATGAAAATTGTAAATGGGTTTTTTCAAATACAGAGCATTCTTTCTTACTTCAATAAAATCATTCTTAAATATTGCACTTGTACAAGGAAATTCGAAAGTTAACAAATTATCCCCTTACATTGAAGTTCGTCCAACAAAAAGCTGGCGCTCACAGTTTCACATTAAAATGTTAGCAACACAAAAACTATACAAGATACAGGGGTCATCTTTACAGTAATATTTGATATAAGTGCAGACATGTAGAAAAGTAGAAAATTTGACCTGATCAAAACTTGAAATTTAAGCCACACTTTGACAACCTTCTTACACATACAATCCCAACTCACGGTATGTTGGATAGGCCTACTCTGCTTCAAGGTTTTATCAAAACTGTATACTTTTGTTATGCTATGTGAAATTGTGGTCAATTTATATCACAAGTGGAAAAAAACGACATATTACACAAATGTCGCCGAAAATGTTGATGCGCGATCAAGTAGAAGGTCATCTGACTGGACAAACTACTATACTACATCAACTATGAACTTTCCTATATGTTGCTAAATCATAAAATGTGGACATCTTAATGACGCCATCAATTTTGTTGGCCAAGACAACGCAATACTTGTTAATCAGTGGGCTATTACATTTGTGTACATGACTCAGCGATGACATCATTAATAGATGAATGTATTAAAAACAGGATTAATTAAAATTAACCAATCAAAATATGCACTACATAATCATGTGTATATCTGTATACAATCTTGTACCAAATTCTTGAATAAGTATCAGTATAATTTATTAAGTTAACAAACACGTTTAAAAACTGCACAATTAAAAACAAACTACCGTAAAAAAGCTTTGGCACTCTATATATCTGCAACATTTACTTTTATAGCACATATTACTTATGGTAATACTGTACTACTGTGCTATGGTCTTGAAATGAACATAGATATTCTCTAAATCGTTACAAATTGATTAACTCATTTTTATTATTTAACAAATATATATTTCTTTAAACACAACAATCTCATAAAGCATGTTAATTTGATAGAATCCAAACTAATTTTGCAATGCATACACGTATATTTAAAAGCTTAAATTTAAAACACATTTCACACAATTGTTTATTAATTGATTAAAGATACACATATACGCAAATCGCACGTAAATAATCTTGATACTAAAAATAACTATAAAACAATAAGTATTAAAACAGTAATATTAATAAAAACTGCAATAAAAATAATAATATGTTCACTTTATCTACCTTACTGGAATTACTGACATTTTAACTCAGAAAGCCGAAGAAGCAAATCACATCCGAGTGAGGTAGGTAAAGCTAGGCCTGGGCCCTGGCCATACTGTAAAGTACTTCAAATGCATGGTACCTCAAAAATAACTCATATTTGCTAGGAACAATAGGTGTGCAGAATCATAACTACAGGTCAAAGTCTAATTTTTGGAAAAAACTGCGCAGATTTTTTCCTGGGGCCCTGGCTATAAAACTAGCCTGGGTTAGGCATAAAACCTAGTAAAATTCAGTTGACATGCCCCATCTTAATCCATACTTATTGTATGAGTGATTTATTATTGATTACATAGTGCATTATTACATCTAACATTATTTTAGGCCTACTATAACTACCCTAAGCCTATATATATTATTAAGTATCATTATAATTTAACAGCAGTGGGGATGCTCCTGGGCCTATGGTAAATGGAATACAGCAAGTTATTTCAGCTTTTATATATACATTGTCCATACTGTAACTTGTTTCAATTACGCAGATGCTACCTAAAAAATTAGCTCAAATTTGCGTGGAAATTCGCTAGGTAAATAGGTGCGCATAATCATCAATACATTGCTTATATATAATATATAAGATTAGGTCAAAGCCAAATTTTCAGCAACATCTTCAAGGAAATCGGCCCTTATTTTCTGAAATGTGCGGTTGGCTTTGTAGGCCTAACTTTACTTTTGCGAGGAGGATATATTCCCCGCGCAGGTCTTACTTTACACTCTATGGTACATTGTATCTTGTAGCACTATGTGCTCTGCACACACTATCAATTTTCTGTGACCAAAACTGATTGTCCAAATATGTGCAGGGCAGATCATTTGTCAAATAAAAGTTCACAGTCTGGACATAACCTTTAACTTACCCTTTAAACTACTGAAAATAATGCTTAAATGTATACTGAATTTTCATAAAATAGTAACTGAGGTCGCTCTTCAGACTTGCGCACATTGACGATGTTGCCGTCTTGTCGTAGCAGTAAACATATGAGCCAATAAGAGCAATGAAAATGGTGATGAGAACAAAAAGGATCATCATCATAAATGTCATTACAACATCATCTGTAACAGAAAAATGGTATAAGAAATTATATAATATATTGTGAGGGTGAGACAGTATAGGTTGATGTGTCATTAACGAATCCATTGCATGATGCCATTGCTGTAAATGGATCTGGCAGACTCCGTCAACCCAAACTGACAGATATAAGAACCCATCAATACCACCTGCCATTCGCTCATACAACTCCGACTTCAACTGCTGAACTGGATACACTGGATACCTTAATCATTCTTTAAATATTATATATTTTTATATGTAAATTTTCTTTTGTGTTTGATATATATTTAAATAACTTTATCTGTATTTTGATGTGTTTTTATAATTTTTAACCCTTATGTAAGGAAAACAAACCAAATGACATTGTTATGACAATAAAGAATATCTGAATCATTTTAATACCTACTGCGTGCAAATATATTCTTAAGCCCTGTGCCAACTATCAAATTTTACTTGACAAAAACATGTGACATGCCTAAATATGGTCATGATGACATCACATCATGACCATATATAAGCACATCATGACTATATATGGGCATACAACAGTTTTTTGTCAAACAAAATTTGATAGTGTGGACAGCTGTAGTAGAGTTTATCAGATGATACCTTGGTCTTTGATGGGCGTAGGTTCATATTCTTCTTCAAATCGTACTTTCTTCAAACCCCTCTTCTTCCTTTCATCTGATTTTTCTTTACTATCAAATGATGACCTGAAATTATAGTCACAAAATTCATAAGTTTATTTTCCTTAACAAACATAACTTCATGTGTACTGAACAGCATATATTCCATCGCTGATTGAATATTATACTGCAACGTTTTTGGAATTATCTGTTAGGCTCTTGTGCATTAAGGCCTGTGTGTACAGTACTTTCAAGAATTAACATCTCGACGAGATTTGATTGACAGATAAACCGACTAATCAGCGAGCGCCATTTAGTCACGTGCTCAAAAACTTTTTCTCTGACATTTTAATTTCTTTAGACAGCTGGTTTAAACGCGAAACATACATGAGCATAGGCCTGGATGTCTATGCTTGGTTATAGATACCCAAATTTACACAAGCAGTGCGCATCAGTGACTTGGACTTTGCCAACAACAAGGTTGACCGAACGCGGCTTTTCCCTCTTTCTTTTGGGAGCAAAATACAGAGGATTTTACAACAATTTCCCCGCTATGTTCCATGAAATAGATTAACACTATGAATATATGATTCATTTTCATACTGCCTACCCTGAATTCTCTTTTTTCTTGAAGATTGATAGCAAAGAAAATCTTTGCCAACTCGGTATGTCTAGCCGCCACTGTCTAAGGTTTTCACGGGCGGGGCTTCGCGTCCTTGTCGACATGTCAATTCTAAACAATTTATCAAAAAGAATTGTAGGGACTGTCTTCCAGTATACAAACTACAACCACAACTGGTAAATGTAAAAGGTTAGTAGGATAGAAACCAATAACTCACAGCATTATTGTACTGAATTGTGTACAGGCGTGCTACACTTTCTAATGGTCTAACCGATTTCTCTGGCAGAACAAAGCATTGCGATTTACTGGAATGAATGGGAGCCTAGTGAATTTCTCTAAAAGCCACCTTGCAATAATAAACACAAATACATACCGCTTCTTCAGAGTGCCCTTTGGTCCACCAGGGATTGCGTCACCACTGAGCCGTGGTAGAATTTTGTGTACCTTTTCACTTGATTCCTCTTCACTTTGACTGCGTTCCATTGCCTCTGTAACACAAAGAAAAACAATCATTATTTTTTTTTTTTATAAATAATATATAACAATGAGTAAACCAATGTGGTGCACAGCTGTATTAACACGCTTGTAGAATAAAAATGATAAATTTGGGAGTTTAATATTATCTAAGCTCTTTATAACAGCTTTTGATGAAATTTTTGATTCTATAAATCTTTGAAAGATAGATGACTGTACCTTACCTGCATACTGATTTTTACCAACTTCTGCATAAATGATTGTAAACAAATCAAGAGCTTGTTTGGTGGTTGGATGGTCTTCACCGTAAAGTTGTCGGTACATTTTAGTTGCCTGTTATAAATAAAAAAACAAGAGCATTATGTGTGCATGCAAGAATGTATGTGGGTATGTAAGCACAGCAAATATGTGGGTATATATATGTATTTATGTATATTATTAAGTTAAAATTGATAACCAAATGTACTTTACATGTTAATATGATAAAGCTTATAGTGACTAATTTAACCTCAATGCGCTTAAAATAGATATGAATAAATAGAGTACTTACTTTTCCACAATAGTCTAGAGCAAGTTGAGGGCTGTTGAAAAAACAGAAAATAATGAATTTCCGAAAGGTCAAATAAAAGGAAAAATTTATTAATAAAAACAAAACCATAATGGCACCAATATTTTAACCTACGCTACTTGGGTAGTACTGTACCAGAGGCAGACCCAATAGATTTTTCTAATTGAGTTTCTCACTTACTTTCCCTCTTCTTTACAAAGACGTGCTAAGTTCTCAAATTGCTCCGCTTTCACTGCCTCACTACTAACATCAAGCATTTCCCTTGATGTCCCTTCTTGAGCATTTTCTGTAATTATAATATCAAAATATTCAGTTAAAAAAAAAAGTACAGAAAATATTGCAAATATTTGTAGTAAAAAAAACCATGTGCACTTATTAATATTTGTGTACTTGTCTAAATACTTACTTGTGTCTTATTTATTTTTGTATTTATTTGTATAAATAAGTATATATGTATACCTTATACATGTACTTCCTTTTACTTTATCTTTGTTTTGTAAAGTGCTGTGATATCCTTGATAAGAGCGCTCTATAAATGACATTATTATTATTATTATTATCATCAAAATTTATTTATTGTATTTTAATTGTGTATATACTTATGATCTTATTTGGGGGCTAACATAATTGTGTATTACATGTGCTTATGTGTGTACCTCTGTACTTACTTAATTGCAAGTGTAGCTTTGCAGCATCAATAAGAGCTGTTTCATAGAATAATTTCTCTGCTTGAATGAAATGAACTGCTTTCTCATCTAAACAACATTAAAGAAAAACAATCAAGTAACAAAAACAATCTTGGCATCCCAAATACTGTATTCAAATAGAAATATCTCCATGATATTATTATTATGGAGTGGAGTTGAATGGCTTAGTGGTAAAGAAGCTTGCCTTCATTTTCTTTCTGTGCATTTGGGATGTCGTTTCTTAGCGCATAGAGATGATTTTGTATTATGCACTTTACAAGCATATCGCCATTATCATTAAAGTGTTTTGCCCAAGAACGCAAGCAGTGTGACAAGCATCGGTCTCGAATCCCTGACCTTCAGATTGAAAGTCCAAAGCCTTACATGCTCCGATGCACGCTTCTACACTTAATAACATGATCATTTAATAGATGAAAAAATCAAAAAAGGATACACTCATTATTATTGAAGTATATCTGTGAAACGTGATGCAGGCACAGCGGAAGTTCCGGAAAACTGGTCTGCTGTTGAATGCCAGTTAAACTCTGCAGATACAGCTTCAAGGCCTCGTCCTGTTTACCTTCTTGCTCTAGAGCCTGCCCTCGTTTAAAGAGGTCACTTCTGCTGATCTCCCTTTCACTTTTATTTTCATCAACAGAATTAGTTTCTTCAATACCCTGTGATGAACTTGACTCAGCCGGACCTTAAAATTTGAAAATATCGAGAATGAAATGTAATTTTTAGGAGGCACGTTTAGGGAATTATCAATGTAGTTCATGCCAAAATTATGCATGAATGATTATAAATAAATATAAAATAACTACAGTGCAAAGACATAAAAAACAATGCATTATAGTAGGTGTCCCTAATTCATTAAAAAGTCATGTTGTATCTTTGAAAAAGGGCATATTTTTATCTTAACTATTGAACTTGCAGATTATTCAAAATATGAATTAAAATTTTAGAATTTTCTTATTTTCAACACTTTATTATTCCCCTTTTTTCATTCACTTCCAACAGTTAATTCAATTGTGAATAACTTCCAGATGCATCTGAATACAGTGCACCCTCCAATTCGAGACCCCTCTAATTGGAGACCACTTTTCCAAAAACGCAAATAACAATCTTCTACCTTATAACACAAAGCTAGCCCTCTAATTGGAGACCACTTTTCCAAAGACCCAAATAACAATATTCTACCTTATAACACCGACACCACCACAAATTTTCAGGTCCCAAATGTGGTCTCGAATTGGAGGGTGAACTGTACACAATTTTTAATGATCAACAAAAAGATTTATAAAACGAACAAAATGATTGTGGTAGCGCTTACCATTTCTTGAACTATTGGTAAGGTTCTCAGTATGCTTATTGTTTACGTTGTCCTTGTTTGAACTTTGACCTATTGCATCTGATGTTTCAGTCTGTGGATTATCACTTTCTTCAGCCATTTGAGTTTCCTCTGAATTCTCTACAGTATCAGCAGACATCTTGGACTTTTAAGTTTCTGGTCAATGGATCAAGTTATCAGAATGTAGTGTAAACTGGTCCTAGTCAAAACCTTTGGTTAAGAAAAGTGGAAAGAATTAGGCGGTTAATTAAAAACACAGCACCGAGCACATTGAGGGCTAGACCAAAGTTTCTGGCTACCGTACCTCCCCACAAGCCTCTATTAATTATAATAAATGGCCTATTTTAGGCCTACATACACACAGGTTTAGCCAACCTAGGCCTAGCAAAGCATCTATCTAGGCCTAGGCTAGGCTAGCTAGGCTTCCCTCATTATGAAATAATAAAATCCTAGTAGGCGCCTAGATGACACTGCATGTATGTATCTAGTTATTCTGTAACCAAAACGTACCTTATATGTGTAGAAACAGGTAATTCAAGTAATACTGAAGAATACTTACAGATTGTCATTTACGAAGATTGGCGTTAGGCCCAATCCAAATAAGGAGTAACTATTGCTCTAATAATAATAAAGAAGACGCTTCTTATGCTCCCATGGAAATTTTAAAGTCCGCCCTCTATCGACCAACAATAGTTTTTGTACTTGGATATCTGAGCATAAATATAATTATTTCGTTTATATTGTCATCATGGACTGTTGTCATCAACAAAAATGAAATATATTATAAATAGTTTCTGTACTGTTCGTATTTCTCGCTACCATAAAATTCATGGAGGAAAGAAGGCTTAGTACGGTATCTTTTCCTTTCGAAATGCTATGAATTTGTTCTGAAAACTTGAGGACGCCCCCACTGAAATACAAAATCGTGGAGGCTTGCACATTCGACTGCAAGCTCATAAATTAAGGCCCAAAAAAAAAAAAAAAAAAAAAAAAAAAGGCCCAAAAAAAAAAAAAAAAAAAATAGAAACAAGATTTTTTTTAAATTAAACAAAAAAAGATTAATATCCAAGTAATGCTAATCAAAATCAATATATTTTTAGTGAATTAAAACAATATTTTCACCAACTTGTTTATTATAGGTCTATCGAAAATTATTAATTTTAACATTTTTTTTGCTTAAATTAAAAATATTTTATTTTTTTAACAATTAAAAAAGAATCTGCGAGTGTAAAAGTTGCCTAATGTATGTCCTCATAAAGACAACCTGGTTTTATCAATTGACGTAGGCCCATGAGTTACGGTACCTAATTGAGTTAATCAGTCAAGTCTATTCGACTTCTATTTGAAATGTTGTGGAATTGTCGTATAAAGGCCTGTTTATGACGATAACGATCAACGATAAAAAGCTAAAGCGCAATTGTTCATAGGCCTATAGAATATAGAAGAAATAATTTCCAAATAATAATAATTATTGCATTACAGCAAGGCGGTTTAGAGTTCATCTCTTTATCATAATATGGTTCTCTTTTTTCTTTTATTTTCTATATGAAAAATATAGCACGATTCGATAAAGATTTATCGTGTATACGAGATAACAAAATATTTTGACAAATCAAATTAAATGACGTCATGATCACAAGAAAACGGTAAAATCGTAGTAATAAAAACGATTTTATCGTTTTCCCATGATTATGACGTCATTTGTTTTGATTTGTCAAAATATTTTTTTATCGTATACAAGATAAATTGTTATCGAATCGTGCTAGTGGGAAAAAAATTCTTATTTCTTTTATTTTCTATATGAACAATTGCTTTTTAGCTTTAGCGTTATCGTCATAGTGTAAATAAGCCTTGTTAAGGACATCGTTCATTTTGAACCTTATTCCTCATAGGCCGACTGCTTATCTAAACACCAATTCTGTATAAGCTTCTCTATCGCTCATCAATGTTTCTTAAATTAAGACTAATTGCACAATTAAAATCTTTAAATTACAAACAAATAAAATACATATTCTTTAGGCATAATTTGTAGTTGATGTAGCTTGGTGGTTAAGATGCTTGCCGTTAAATCTTAGGGTCCCGAAGTCAATTCCTGTGAAAGCACAAGATTTCGTCTCACGACTAAAAACATCTCCACTACCTAAGCCTCGTAGGCCTAATATGACTTTATGAAGCATTTTATTATCATGTTAGCTGGTGGAGCAATTTGTCTGGTTAATTCTGCCCGTTGCGGTGGGCGCAACTTTTTAGCAGAATATATATAATGTCTATGCAGATTTTTGTATGATCGGCTCCCTCGTAATTCATATTCCCATTCATCTTCCTAGTGCCTCCCCCTCCCACTTTGAAAAACGTTCCGCCGGCCCTGATTATTATTTTGATTTCGTTTATTTAAAGGGATCAAATATCAATTAGGGCCTAATCTTGAAGTGGCACCCTCTGTGAATATAGTGAGAAAAAAATAGTAAAATAAATAAAAATAAATAAATAATAATACTTCATCATCATTTGAGAGGAGTACGGTACAGCATAAAGGGAGAACGCGGGAATAGAGGTCCTAAATGGTAGGCCTACCGTTCATTAAGTGCAGGTACCGGTAAATCACCGCAAGTGGGCCTTAATTGAGAAGGTGAGTGACAGAGGTAACATAATGAAGCATGTAATGCGCCCGATCGATGTGTAATTAACAAATAGTCAATTAAAGCCAATAATGGCATGGGCTTAATTAGCAGAGCGTCCTATGGGATAAACAACTTGCGAAATAGTTGCACATAACGGTAGGGGTGGTTCACAATTCCCATTTTCATTCATTCCTTTACAACTTCCTACCTGCCTTAACAGTGACGTCATTCGTTATATTACGTTTAAAGTACAAACAATTCTCATTTTAATTTCTACGTTCATTTCATTTTAAAATTTGACGAAGGAAGTTAACATGTACAGTATTGTAAAGACGATGATATGGATTTTATTTTATGGCAAATCTTACTGCACAAAAATCGAATACCTCTAGGCTATAGTTTTTCTAATCTCGATACCGGTACAGCATTCAGTGGCGTAACGCCTATGAGCTCTCGTGCGGCGGTCCACCGGGCCCCGATTCCTGGGTTCGTCGGTCCCCTTCCCATAGGGTCCTCGATCAGAAAAGAGCTTTCATAACAGAATAATGTGTCTCTGACATCGACTGTAGGGCATATATTGTATTATATCCAGTGACGGATTAAGGGGCCCGTAAATTTATTATTTTGTAAAAAACAAATAGAGATAAAAAAAAACAAAAAACCAAACTAATAACATTTTATGTCAGTGCTTGCCATTTCCGGCCATCGGGTGCCATAATAAAGCTGGTACAGACCCTTCGTCTGTGAAAGTCCCTGGGCCTCTCTATTTTAAATTCCTACTAGATCCGCCACTAATATAAATAAATGTGAAGCGCTTAGAGGCTTTGTTAAGGCATTAGGCGCTATATAAGAACGACATTATTATAATATATAATTTTTTTTCGTCGTTGAAAAAATTATACAATGACAAACATGATTTAAAAACACACCTAAACCCCACAAGGTATTGGCGACCGTGACTGGAAAAGGCTCCAGTCTCGAAAAGCCACAGGGCCCCCGGCACCAGCTTTACGCCACTGACAATATTTCCAAATTTTCAAGCATAGATAGGCATATCTCCCCGTAATTTGTCAACCTTTCTGTTAAAGCTTCACATACAAAATCATACACAACTGACCAGAATTTGTCAAAAAGTGTGATAGTTAAATGTATGTATACCCATAGTCAGACCCAATTAATCAGACAGTAGCTTCATTGTAGCAGGTCTAAAACACCGTATTGTTTCATCCTGATCAAACAAATAACATCGGCCTAGGCCTAGCTATTATTAATTAACGACTTTTGGAGTCCGGCAAAATCTGATCTAACAAACAAAACACTACCAGTGTATCTCTGACTTTGTCATAAATATCTCATTCATGTTTTGCATGTGATATTGCTTTATTCATGTGATAAGTAAAATAAAACGTCCATAAATTTCTCGACAGAAATTTGATTAAACAGAGAACATATTTCGCTCAATGTTGAGAGATTCTGTCATTTTACCAAACTGGAGCGCTAAATTAAGTTACATCTTAGTTGTGCTTAATGAGAGCGAGTGGCCAGTAATCTAATACAACACGGTTGATTTTTGAATTTAATATTGGCTTGAGTTATGGGTTGTGTTCATTAATGCTATGTGATCGGAGGACGTTTGTATTAACGTAATTTGATTAGTAAACAAGCATCGATATGGGGCAATTGTTTGCCAATACGTTCATGTAAAAAATGACCTTCTCGCATGATATCTGCACGAGGCTTCTTTAGCTAATAGTGCCTAACATGACATTGTGATTTCTAGTGTGCTTGTAATGAAATTAAGCGCGAGAAAGAATAGTTGTCAAACTATTGAAAGTAGAGCAGGCAATGAAAATGTTCGTTGCTGCCATCAAGGCGGCGGTTACCGTATCAGTTTATAATAACAGGTATGGTATATGAATATGATACGTACGGTATCATCTTTCATATATACAATATATATATATATATATATATATATATATATATACATACATATATATTATACATAGCACATACCGTAAAACTTTCGATAGAAACCCTGAGTCACTCTTTCTTAGCTGGGTTTTTTGGATGGGTTACAATTTGAATATGAGTTTAGTACTCTGATAGATAGAACTGGTTCATTATTTATTTATTTATTTATTTACTAATATCTTTAGCCAGGATGACACAATCATTTTAAAGAAATGTTTTTCATTGTGGTCCTGGAACCACATATTAGACATAGGGCCTCAGTTTCACATTGTAAAATGATAAACCATCTATGCTTCCTGTTTCGAAAACTCACATGAATGACTACCGTACCGTATACAAATAAGATTATTCATTTGTTTAAATTACCCCATGTATTATCGATATTAGCAAACGGGTCGAGAAGGTCCTCTTCGTTTAAAACTTTTATACGGTACTGAGATCTTAACCTGCGAAGTTCCTCGTTTTCCGGACTGCAAACCAGCTATCGTATTTAATTGATAACCATAGGCCTAATAATGTAATATTATCACTGGTGTATGTGAAATAGGCGTACTACGCGCAGATGGACCTTGTGTCATTTACTTGAAATGATCATCGTCCATTTTAAAATTTGATGTGTCAATCTTGAATTGCTTTCAACTTGACGTAGTAAACTTCAGGACCTACTACTGTGATGATTGACACTTTCGCAATCTGGACAGGTAACGTCACAACATGGACGTTTGTTTCAATTATGGTCCATAAAAAAACCATAAAAAATATATATATTATAGTAAAATGATATGATAAAGATGATAATAATAATTTTAATTATATTACTGATAATGATAATAATGCAATAAAAATATCAAATTATAATTCAATTAAACGCCTTTCCAAAAAGGGAATGTGACATCACAAGGTCATAGTCATGTGACTAAGTGGCTTAACTACCAATAACACATTGTTAGGCCCATTGTAGCGTGTTGATTTGATTTGATTCTTGTTCACCACAGACAGACGTCAATCAAACGCCTTCCATGTCGCACAATTTGTTTTATTTAGTCATGAAGTACACTTATTACACGGTGATCTAACTGAATGACATCCGTTCTCTGTCCTAGTTGAAACAGTTACGTCGTATACGCTAGATAAATTATAACGGTTTTGAGCGACATGACTGTAGCTAATATACACCAATTTAGAACAGACATATAGGCTAGGCCTATATAGAAATCATCCATTATTTCATTTTATCTCATGGTATATTTTATTCAAAAAGAACAATACACTTGATAAAAAGTACAAAAACAGGCCTACAAGAAAGTTACGATAATGTTTTTAAACACTTGCAATAATCTAACTGTAACAATAATAAGCCTAATTATTTTGATAACAATCATCGATAAAAATTGACTCCAGAGTATTTTACTACTATATATGATTAACTTCACGTTAATAGACTTAGGGCCTATTACCATCATAATCAATTACTATTTATAATAATAATAATAATAATAATGATAATAATAATAATAATAATTATTATTATTATTATTATTATTGTTATTATTATTTCTGACGCCTAATTGCGTAAAGCTTCATTAAACTTAAGCATAAGTTTAAAGATTTTTTTTCGTTTACTTTTTTCTTTTACTCAGCAGCCACAAAATCCATTGCACATCCCGCATCCACTACTTACTTTTCGCACGTGTTATCTGCATCTCGACGATGTATTCATCATCAGCGCCTCGTGCATATCGCGTTACCATGTTTCGTTATGGTCAAGAAAACCTGATACATTTACTAACGAACTAATTCAGTTATATCGAATTATAACATGTCGCAAGCGAAAGCATACATTTGCTTAACGGTGGAAGATGTACATTGAGAATTAGGCCGTCGAACATGCATTTTTGAGGCTATAATTGATAATTCACACGGGCACAAAGGCTTCTGCAAACACATACAGACTTGTCCAACTACTGCTTGTCTTCGTTAATTAGCAATATATACTAATCAGCTTCTAAGATAATTTGATAATGTAGCACTTTCATGAATTGCTATTTGCTACACAAAGAAGAGAAACAAATTGGAAAGGTGGTCTGTTAAAGGATGTTAAAGCAAGCAAAATGGTTAAGCAGGGAGGGTTGGGTCCTTAGGAGAACGTGTAAATAAATATAAATACGCAATTAAAACATTAAAAAAAACCGAAGTGGACGGAAGATTCGTCCTATAGTTCCCTAGCCCCCAGGGTAATAGGGCCCGAAGAAGCCTACGTCTCTTCCTCACATTTCTTCGTTACGCCACTAATTATAGG